TCTGGCTATTCGTCGAGTTGACCACGAAATGTCACATTGTGTATGGAACTCACATTCTCTGTGGAAAGTATGAAGAAATGCAGTAAATCGCAAGATGAGCATACGCTTGTTTGTTGTGCTCACAACTCAATAGACGAAGAAGCACTTTGATTAGTGTCACTTTGTTACCAGGATTTTGGACTTAAGTAATTGTATTCATGCGTTGCACGGTTAATTGAGCTCGCCATTACTAAACTCCCTCAGAGAGTACCAAAGATTATTGATGAACCCTTTTAAATTCAAGGTTTAATTTCGAAACCGGGGTTTTCTAGTTAACCATCAAATTCGGATCAGGCGTTAGATCAGGACGTGAACAATCGAGCTCTGAGAAGAGCAGGCATTACTAACAATTATTTTTTTACTGAAAAGGGGTATCTCTTTATATTTGATTATGCACCCTAAGCCCAAACAATTTACCGGAAATTATAATGGAATAGAAAGCAGTTTAATTTATTCTATTTTATTTTTTCAAATAACAGTTGAAACTGTTTCAAGAGGCCAAATTTGCCTGTCGGTTCGATACGTTCGGTTGTAAATTTTTCGTTTCCGTATGACCCCTGTCAGCTATGACTATGACTAAGCTTCAGAATAAGTGCACGCATTGAAGTTTTAGTTTTACTTTACGCCTTCAATTTTATCATTATCTGTCAATAGGGTTATTTAACAAATCACACCTAGCTTAACTCCATAGTGGTTGATTTGTATGGATACACACATATAAGTACCTTGTTGTAGTGATCAGAATTAAACTTTCGTGACCTTGGTTGCCAAGATAAAATGATCTCAACATCGAAATCGCAAATTTTATCAAGTATGAAGATACAATATATTCTAAAAGAAGCAACTCAAGATTTATCCCAAATTAGTTCCATAAACCCTTGACATCTCAGTTATTTGTTACCAGACAATATACGCTCTATAACACGACTGTATTGAATAACCAAATGAGATTCTTTTACAACCCGGGGAAAATACAGTCAATAGCATTTCATCATAATAATCTATATTTGTTAGCTAACTCAACGAATAGGAGAAATCTCATTTAGTTCAAAGTCAACCTTAAAATCAAGGTCATTCTGAACACTCCTATCTGCGGAGTAGAAACTAATCACGAAGACCACCACTCTAAAGACTCACAAAGGTTTGTTTATTATTACTGAAAAATATTTACTTTAGTGTATATTTTGTTGCCTATAAGAACCCTCAAGTATTTCACAGGGACCCGTTGTTTCAGTTTCGGCTCTACCTGTTTACCAGGTTTCCTAAGACGTGTTTCTCATGAAGACGATACTTTCAAAATAAGATGATATCAACTTGTACATGAAGGAATAGTCACGAATACTAGCGATTCACACATCCACATAAACATCCGAATGAACTAATTAAAGAAATGTAATCTACGTCAAGTCAGCTTTTATTTCCTTGTTTCTTTTCTTACTCCCCGTATCTTTTGAAGAGAGTTTTGTAATCCTACAGTGTCCTCTGTTGATTATCCAATAAAGCTTCATACTCCCCATTCAAATATTGGAAATGTTAGCTTATATACACGTACATACCTATTGTTTCAGACAGTATACACTAATTATATATCAACCTCCACAATAAACCTAATAAGAAATTCATTGTGACGCATCTCGCACGCACATTACCCTCCAGCGAGAAGATAGTGACTGAAGTGTATTCTAAACCTGTTCACTTATGTTCCCGATTCTTTTGTTTATTTTGATACAAAATTTATTTTTCTCTTTTTTTACTTCAACCTTAATTTGTTGTACAAATCCATTTAATTTGTTTGGGCAACTGAAATGAAAACAACAACAGATTAGCGAATGTGGGCGCACCCATACACCTACCGCCTGTCTAAGGAGGCTTCTGTGAAAACCAAAGGAGAAAACAATGGAGAAAGACAAGAGCAGTGTTATCTACAAAATAAATTGCAAGAACCGCTCAAAACACTATATCGGACAAACTGGGAGAAAACTGTCCACAAGGATCCGTAAACACCAAGCGGCAGTCAAGAGACATGACCCACCATCTTTGAGTTCCCTCCACGAAGATCATGAAGGACATCAGTTTGACTTCGCTTCAGTGAAAATTATCGACCAAGCGCTGTCAAAACACGCCAGGGAATTTCTCGAAGCTTGTCACTCCTCAATCAACTCGATCAACAGGCATATTGGACTGGATCACGTGTACATACCAATGCAACTCAAGGATCAAATGACAACAAAAACCTGTCACAGCGTGACCTGAGAACGGACCGAAACCGCAATCAGGACGGATGGACAACCACTTCCCCTACCAACCTCGCCCCCACGCACCAGTTTAACGGCGAACCCAGTCGAACATAATGAGAACAAGGGACAACAATGGTCGATGGAAAAGAACACATGTTTAAACAAACGGACACAAACAGAAGACTGCCACTTCACAAGCACTGATGATGTCACCTCGGTTGGTGATGAAATGTTTGCAAACAAATTGCCAAGCTCGGCGAACAGGCGAAATAGAATTCATTTCACCCGACCTACGAGAACCGATTTTTAATTCTTTTTCATAGCTGGTACATGTATGCCAAATTATTGATGTCCCAACTGTAATCTGCAATAAGCAACTTCCCTCGACCAGGCACCGCCTTGTGGGATTATAATCAAGCCTAAGTTGGCCTGTGCACAGTGAAATTCATTATGCATGCAATCGAGTCAAATACTGCATTCACCAACCCCAACCCACCCAAAGTGTCATATGAATGTGCATTTGATTCGGTAAAATATAGTAAGTGTTTTTTTCGCACAACATTAGCAGGTCGACTGGTGGATTCGCAAACAAATTTCTTGTCATCAATGCCTCGATCCATTCCACCTCATTTTGCTTACTCCTATTTTTGGTTTACTCTAAACACATCAATCCAATTTTATCGGATTGTCATCTACAACAATCTGTGTAACCAAAGGTTACGGTAAATAAAGGTATCACCCAAGTCACTGGTAATCATATTAAGAAAAATAATTTGCCAGTTTTCCAAAGTATACTGATCGTGTCTTTGTTTCCATCTCAGCCCTCGTCACTCTGTGATCCAGTTCTGTTTAGGTTCAATCCGTCAGACAATCAGAAATGAACGAACCCGCATAGTCCACAAATTGTGCTAGTATTATGAAGCGTGATCCAGTGCACAAATATCGGTTAATGGTGGAGCCGATATTGGTGACCTACCAGTTCTGCATTAAACCTAACTCAATGTAGCAACGGAGAACTATCAGACACACTACTATACAAACACATCTGAGTTGAAAATTACTGAAACAATTCTGTCCAAAATTGAATATTTTCAAGCTCAAATAACCAAAGGGGGGACATTCTATTTCACAATCAAACATGTTTTATGATATTAAGCCAACTGTGTGTCACGTAGTGCATCCTCTGACTACTATTGCCAAGGTTGCCTGGATATTGACATCTCGACCATTGAACTCCAGGGAAACCCGAACTGGTTCCTAACTGCTAAATAGCATTCTATATTGTTCACAGGAACACCAAAATAGTCAGCTGAATCACGTGAGTTCAAAAAATGTTCTCAGACAGGCTAATTATACACGCACCAGGTTCAGCTTTGAGAGGAAAATTATTTTTCTCTGGCTTTCTAACTCAAGCGTTGATCCAACCGTTCACGTAGAACCCACCCTTGATCCTAGACAAGTATCCTTATTTACAACCGGCAAAGTTGGCATCTTTCAATAAACTGTTTTCCACCGTTAGCCTACTCCTGTCATTCATCTTTTCCACCAGTGAAGACAAATTCTCTGTTTACTCAATGTGTATGGTGATATTATTGCGCATCATTGTGAGTGGTTAGTTTGTTACTTGTCCTTGAACTGTTCGAAATGAATTAGTTTTTTCACGCTTCTCATAATTAATGACGAGCATTACTACCACTTTCAATGAATCACAATCTCGTGTATTGCTCAGTGATAGGTAACTTGGTTCATTAGAACTTAAACCCTATATCGCTTGAATTATTTGCACGGTCCATGCCGTGTACATCGTTTTATAATTGCTTGCGTATTACCACACTGACCAGTCAACCTCCCCGGTTTGCTGTGGAAAGATTTCAAATTAATTTATGGTTGTTCAATCCCTTTTTCTCTAGAAAGGTATTCCCCACGTGCGTATTGTTCGCTTTAATAAACTCTTTCCCAAACAAGGTGTAAATACTGGCCCACGGTTCCAACAGACCCTGAACGTCCCCTGCTTCTTACCTTCAATACAAAAGTTTCTGTCTCATCCAGTTGCTCCGCCAGAAGCCGTTGTATCCATACCGAAATAATTCAATCTTCCGGCAGTCTCACCGTTTGCAGAATCTTGACCGATCCCGGGATGAGTAAACTATTGATTTGGAAATACCCTGTGTTAAATTTTGCTTGCTGATGTCTGACGGACATTTATGGGTTTGTTTTCGGCTTCTGTTAACGTAGTCAGCATGTGCTGCTTGGTATGCGCCTTTTTGCACTTTTCTGAACCGTATAACGTTAACTTTACTTGGCTTGAAGGAACTCTTAAGTATCACTACGGAGTTGGACAGAGATTTTGACGAGATGAGGTCAATTAGAGCAGTTTATTGTCACCAGTGGTACATTCATGAGCACAAACAAACAAAAATAGAGGTAGATGGAAAGATTTGAAGCAGACCTTGGAACCGGCCTAATTGCATCTTTGTTTCAATTTCGTTGGACAGCGATGAGAAAACAAACTGCGAATATATAAAACAAAACAGTTGAGTTGTAATGTGTCACTCGGGATGAACTCGGCTACGTTCTTCTAATCGATGGAAATGATCGGTCAGTTACGTAAATCAAACACATACCAATTCCAATCAATGGTCGTGGTTGAACAATTCGGGTAAACGATGGGAAGGCAGACGTTGTAAACTTGGATGTGAGTCGTTCAGCAAGCGATATGATAGTTTAGGGGTCAAGTCGATTAGCTTCCGGAACCAATAGGTGCCACATGACATGAGTGCGTGGGCTATGTTTTCGCATATCATCCCAATGTTTGACGCCATTAGTAAGCGGAGAAACTGAACCGACAACTGCTCGAGCGAGAACGTTGCTGCGTTTGAGTGTTCGACGTTTTTTCAGACTGTACACCACACATGCCTGATCCAGATATTTCGGTTTAATTGGTAAAACAGCTTTTTCGTTGAAGTAGGGATTAATTAAGTCAACTTTGGACTTCGTTTCATAAGAAGCGAATGTTCGCTTCCTATACTTTAGTTCCACTTGGATGTAAATAGCATCCTGGCCTTGGGTTAACAAATGACCGAAATCCAGTTTTCGTGCTTCATAGATGAAGGTTTCAACACAGCCAGGGTTAGATAGATAGGCAAGACCGACGCAGAGCTCACCAGTACTTTTACAGGTGGGTGCAGCCGAAAGTAAACCGGCAGTTTTGTCGTACGTACCACCAACATATTCGTTCATATCGATATCCCCAATGGCTACCTCAAGTCGACCGGAACAATGTGCTTGACCCAAACTATCACAGTGGAAGACCTCAATAATCAGTGTGGCGTTCTTTAATTCATATTCCGTTATTGTGAATGGGCATGCAAAGTGCCATTTTGGTGCGAGTGTATCACGTTCGACGCTGGTTTTGTACCATTTTCCACGTGGTACACACATTTTATCCAATAGTACTAATAATCTAGCAGTAGCATAAACGTCATGCTTATTTGAATCTATCGGATTTTTTAAGTCTTTGGCCTCAACAATAACCACTTGTAGACATTTGCTGGACACGTCGTATTCCAAAGCAAATGTCAGTAAACCACACATCCCTGGTTCGACTATTGGGTCCAGTATCTCATCCAGGAACACACCCTTGATTGGTTTACGTCTTGCTTTGCTCAAAATTGCTCGTCGTATGCACGATTTGATGCACAGAATAATCACAACCACAGCAAACACAGAACCAATGCAAATCAGGACGAAGAAAAATATTGCCAATGGGATGTTTTTCACATTGAAATTTATGGCCATATCGCGCAGGAATGGGATGTTTGACAAGTTGTTGTCTGTCGACGCCATATTGCGTTAATCGAATCGATGATCGGGGAGTGTGAACTGTCAAAAGGCTGAACCATGCACAAATGCAATGTGGGATTTCGTTTGTCCCGGTGCAGTTTAGTTAGCAAATAACTGATGACGCATCAATTCCGCTTTAGGTGTCATTCAAGTTTGAATATCACATAACTTGAAACGCTCGGCCTTTATTGTTGGATCAGTTGACGCTCATATAAGACGGTTGTTTTTGTAAGGTCAAGCCAATCACAAAGTCACCGATAAAAGCACTCGGACTGCAGTGACCTTTCTGATTGGTGCGTGCAAATGACACAGAACCGAATCGCACACAAACCGACGAGCTCGATTACATCGGTCTAAGTAAATTAATTTGAGCATCATATGATTCGTCTGCGGTGAATGTGAGGGGATAAACATGTTTGATTCGTACTAGAAATAACGGCCCTAATCGGGCCTTCTTTCGCACTACCATTTTGTAGGTCCAGAGCGGTGTTTACCTGCAGCAACTCAAATGAGGACTGATTTGATGTACGTCGCATTTCAGGGTAATATAACTGTACTATGCTTATTCGAATAACTTACGGAACAACATGTGGAATGTACTCAAAAAATGTGCATCTTTAAAGAATAATCATACGATTATATCTGTAAGCTACTGCGATGCGCTCTGTTATTATCATTCTATCCATAGAAAAGAGGAATAAAAATTCAATTGTAATTTTGATCAAACACTAAAATTTCTAACAACGTATTGATGAACAGAAGACGGATGTCTGATGACCGATAAATGACGTTGAAGTTATATCAGACAACAGAAGAGTAATAAAAGAGGAATTGAGAAAGATCCAATTAAAGATGCCAATAAAAGGACCTGAGTCGAATGATACAACATGTTATATTATTATCACATTATATTAAAAATACATGAATGAAAACCATCTGGATCAAAACTGTATCTTCTTTAACAGGCACGTGAAATACAATCAACCAGATGGATTTAATGAGGAGCCTCTAACAGAAAGGTGTGATCAACAGGGGCCAACAGTTTTGGTATAATGCATAGCGCGTTCTTTCGAAACCGCTTTTGCCGACACATCCATGGGAACGTCGTCCAGTGAGAATGAAATGATCTATCCATAGACAGAAGAATCTTATTGAATAGGTTACAGAGCAAAGCTGGGACGCTCTGTAGGGTGGTGTGAGTTTGGCTGTTTATCCTCTACCCACCACCACCTGGAAACGTTTTGTGTTGGACGTTTGATCGAGTGAGCTTTAGGCACAAATGAAGGAACCCGGTGTTCAGTGACCTCTGTCGGCTGTGCAGAGAAGTGTTTTGTTTCAGAATGAATCGATAAGCCCGTCATCATCCTCGTGTGTGAATGTAGGTATGATTCACTGTGTGACCCTTCCAGTCTGGGGCCTCAGTAGCCTAACGAGTAAATTCAATCGATACGGTGGTTCCCTAGAATAAAACTCATTCCTTTAAAATAAACTCGATGACTTACATATTTCTGGGATTGAAGCTCACAAGTGACAAGAAACTTAGCACTGATTTGAGTATACAGTTAAAGAATTAACAACAGCACCATACTCATAATCTATCATCGTTGTATTACTGAGCAGCCAAACCTGTAATGAACAACGAACGAGGGTTGTGCATTGTGCCCCGGGTCGACGATTAGAAAATTATTATTCAGCATTTTTGCAATCGGTGTTAACTTAAGGTTAGAATAACT